TGCTTGCTCTGTGTTGAGTTTTGTCGAGTCTTGTTGACCCTTGTTGAGAGATTTGTCATGTTCCTAAGATCAAGATCACGTACACCACATATATGTGTCTTTATATTCTAAGTTTGGAAATACATAAAACATGTTTTTCATCCATCTCAAAATGTTACGCTCCTACAATTGGGAGAAGACAAAATATGTTAGATTTTATTAGAATAAATGCTCCAAGTTCTTGATAATATTTCTCTCAAAAGTTGTTGTAAAAAGAGACATGGGTTATACAAAAATATAAAATGATGGACACAAAAGATGTTCAAAGTAAAAAAGAAAAGAAAAGAGATGAGAATAAAAATAACCCATGTTCTCGCAAAAATATTCCACAGGAGAGAAATATATTTCAGAAAGCATAGTAGAATTAGGTTAACCACTAAATATTCCACACACATGCACCTCTTGATCTAAGAGTATGATACTTCTCTCCTTGGATCCGGGATTTGACCTTGCAATATATGCAAGGTAAGTACGCTACATATTTTATCCCCACCTAAACTCCACATAAGCTTTTTAGAAGTAGGATAAAGAAAGCAAAACGATGTTTTGGTAAGGAACTATACACACTTGAAAGCGATCTGAGAGAATCATTTGGGGAGCAAAGCTATGTTTTGATTTTTAAAAATCTTTCAAAAAACCCAAGTTTTCTGAGCAGAAGAAGTGAGGATGACTGGATTCTAATCCGTTCTATTCTTCAACCACCCAAGATGGTGTGATAGACACTTGAGTTCACATGTATAGGTGAGGCTTGGAATAAGGTAATCTCTGCTGCTAGTGAATTCTTCACTCTTTACCAATGATTTGAGAACCGATTATAGTTATAAACTGGGGCCACCTCTTAATCATTAAATCGGATGAACAGTCATACCAAGCAAATCATCAAGGCCAAATATTGCAATCAAATGTCGGCGACTCACGAAAGAAGACCATCAGATTGAAATAGTTCAAGCATGAAAATTCATACTCCGAACTAGGGGGCCTGTGTTGACATCAAAATTTGGTAATTGGGAAGAAAGCGGTAGTAACGTAAAAAGAAGAAAATCTCCGATATAATGACCATGACTCGAAAGTCGATGAGATATATACGATGGAGTCATTCATGCTCGAAATTAATGGGGGAGCGACAAAAGGTCAAACAATTTGGCGATTCGATGTGCCTACCATCTTGTTTGTTACATATACGTGATGCATTATTGGGCAACCGGCAAGGCAAATGGAAAAGGATGAGAGGCCAAGTGCTATACGAGCTATGCTTGACATGGATGCCAAAGAAGATTAAGATCGATTAACGAGGAAGGGATATTTTAATAGTTGTTTGGCGGGCTGCATAAGGAAATAAATCAAATATATCTTTGGATGGAGACGTGAAGCTTCTTGATTAAAGAAAGAGTCCATGCATGAAGGAAATAATACGATCCTCAGTTACCGACGTAGTGATTAGTGAAGATGCAAGCCAATAAAGATGCGTCCAAGCAAATATATATCGTACATGTTACCGAGCCACTTGTGGAGAAGATTTCCAAGATCTATTTGGTCAAGGAAAGGGAAGTTGTGTTTGCACGGGACTCTCGAGAATACATTGCTTGCATGGTGTTAACACTGGATTTTGGTCGACTTTGGAAGATGACAGGTGGGTCCGCATGTGGGAAGAAGGACATTCGGCAAACAAAACGAGCGGTCGGCTAAATGCTTGTGCGGTCGGTTACTTCAGAAGGTGGTGACTCCATTCGGGAAAGCAGAAGATGGCAAGCAAAGCCGATCGAAAAGATGAAAGTTGTAATAATAAAGGACTCTGAGAGTTTGGGGCAAGGAATCGTAGTTTCCAAGTTTGTTTAAGAGTTCCTTTGTAAATCGTAGTCTTTTAGGACTCGTGTTTCGTCTAGGGTATAAATATTGACCCTCGACCATTGTAATAGGCGTTCACAACCAAATCAATACAACCGGCCCCGTGCCAACTTTCGAGTCCTTTTGTCGTGTCGTCGAGTTCTTCGAGAGGAGTCATCGATCCGTCGACCTCCGTAAGTTCCGACAACCTTGTTATCATGTTTAGTATCATGCGGTGGATTTAAACGTGATGCAAGTAGTCTTGTTTGTTTTCAATGATCGTGCGGCGGATCTTTGCTTGACAATCAAGAAGTCTTCGCTTATACTTTGTTTATGAGTAGATACCGTGCGGCAGGCGTTTGCTCAATATGCTTAGTGGAAGCAAGATGAGGTTATCGGCTCTATTAGATTACGGCAAAATCTAAATAGATTCATCAAGTTATCCTGTGTTGCATGTTTTAAATATTTTATACATTTGTAACACACTTTTGCCCAATCTAGATTGATATTGTTCGGCCCTCTTCTATGGTTTTATTCGAGCTTCAATGATCATTACTTTCATAATATCTTTGCAAATAGATAACATGCTCGTAATGGCCAAATTATTTTAATCTAGATTGTCACATGTTGTGGGTTCATGTATGTTAATCACGTTTAAGTTTTTGACGAAACTAGGTGTCGTCTGCGCGTGACGACGAGTTTTAGATTGGCTTAATCATGTTTATCTACACGTTCCTTCTTCATGGACCCCAACTCAATTTGGATTCTTTGAGCTTGGATATGTATTAACGCATAATCAATTTCACTTGTTCAAACATGTCTTTCCATGCATATGCATTCGGCAATCGATCTTTATGTATGTCCATCTTACGATTAGCCAGAATGATTTATAAACTTGTTGGCGATGACTTCCTTCCTATAGTCATATGTCGTTGTAAAAATAACCGGGGTCGTATATACTGAACTATGCGGTCTCACCCGACATGTTCCGGTTTGACATTTAATGGTTTTATCCCTTGTCAGTTTCTTTCAGGTCAAACTGACTGGCACGTTCCGGATCACGAAGCACCCGGGCATCCGATTGAAGCTACGCTTTTCGGCTTGCTGTGTGTGTGGCACAGTGCGTCACATTTTGTGTCAACATAGTGCCTGCATTTTTGGAGTTTCCTAACATGTCATTATACACTCCATAGAATGTCTTTGCTACGCGAAAGAGAATTCTATTCTCATACATTCTATTCTTATAGAATAAAATATTTATTGATACTTTCAAATAGGTCCAGTGTCAGGTATAAGTGAATAACAAATGCTTAGCTATCGGAACACAGTAGAATCTTCAGTTTTTAGCCACAGGCATTGCAAATCGCGGTCTACTGTTTTCTAATAATGTTTTGGAAAATATCTTGAGAATAAATAGTGAGCATAAGGTTTCTCTATTTTGCGATACGAATTTGACCTTCTGCTCCTGTAGGAACGCTACAGGCAAGAGAAACTGTAACGATCCTTCACTACTGGGTAGCAATTACAAGAGTTTGGGATACAATTTGGGAAGAATTAGAGGGAATCTAGACTGGGAATAGCAGGGATTTGGGGGAGTTAGCAAGAATAGCAGGGGAGCCGGTGCCTGGACGGAGGAGGAAGACGAGCCGGGGTTCTTGGTATTCTGTTCTATATCGTTCCCCACGATGCTGGCTCTTCTTGTAGAGTTGAAGCCCCTTCTCCGACCCAGCCCACTAGGCAGCCTGTCTCTGGCCCATCTGACGGCCCAGTCCATGACAGAAACCTTCTCATAACCTATGTTCTAAACTTCTGTTTTTTTTTAAATAAATAAATATCAAATGCATATTCTGAAACGAGCTTTCCCTTTCCTTTAATGTTTAGATGTACATGTACCCCTGAATCTCCTATGTTATGATAATGTAATAAAACTTCGCATTGCACTGAAGATTTAAGTTATACAAATTACCTACTGCACTAAGAATTGCAGCAGCTGGAAGAGTATCGGTTCAAGAAACAGCATCACAATGGAAGAATCGTGAATGCAGATTTCCAAGGCCTCCAGTTTCCTCTATCCCCATATTGATGCCATGACCATCCTCTGTAACACTTGTATATCCTGGGCTGGTCCTCCAGCTGTCTCTGCTTCATGGTAGCACACAATTTCCTTAGGCCATCCAGCTCGTGCCAATGGCACCAACATAAATAACTACGTATAAAGAATAAAGTACAGAAATAAATCAAAATAAGTATTAGATTACTAGATTAGGGAATGAGTCCAAGTCTTCTCCTGTTATTATTATATTTGTATTCCCCCTCCCAAATTGCTCTCCACCGCTTCAAGTCTCTTCCCTGCCTCCAGTCTTCTCCTGAAACAGCCTGCATACATTGCCAAAATCCCCTGTTCTAGCTCTAATATTCTCCTGGGGTAAAGGCGTACACATTCAAGTGTTTTGAGTAAGTTCCAGATTATGTTTTTGTATTTATAATTTGATTTATTTTCTGATTCATGTAGTCTTTTGTATACTTTCCTTTTTTTCATTTGTTGTTTTTTATTGCCTTCGCTTTCTTTTTACTGTTCTGATTATTTGTTTCATGAGTTCTTTTGTGATGTTCTTTTGGTTATTGTGTTTTGCATTGGGTCTGCTTAGATTTCATGGCAAAAAATACCATGGGGGTATTCATATGTTTCCAATAATCATATACTCATTGTTGAGCCATGATAGTTAGCTAGAAAAAGTTATAACCTGACAAATAATCAGGTCAATGGTTTGTGGCTTATAATGATGATTACGCACGATGGACAAAATTTTATCTAGTTCTCAATTCCGATCATTCCTGAATGTTCCTGTTTGAGAGCCTTCATAGATGAAGGATAATTATTCAGTAATACAGTACTGTGATTCATTATCTGCATCAATTTGATCAATAAATTAACATTTTACTACGTTAAAAAAAATAAATTGACGTTTTAGATTCACATTGATGAAATACAAGCTTCTTGTTGTGCACTTGTTTCTTTTGTAAAATCAATTGTGACACAAGTCTAGGCTTTGACTGTTTTGTTGCCCATCCTGATTCTTATCTTCAATGTTTCTTCTTCGGTTAGTAACAAATTTGTTGAGCTGCGGCTTGAAAGGATGGCAGACAAGAAGATCGAAGGGGCTGATTCATCTCACATTGTCTCTTCAACAAAATCTTTGCAAAGTTCAGTAGGGCCTAATCTAATTGAAGGTACTGATGAAGACGATAGTAATAACCTTCAGAAGACAGTAAGTGCCAATTTTGTGGCATCATTGCAGCAAGAACATCCTCTGGGCCTTGCATTGGCTGAGAACAATAGCAATTTGCAAGAAATTTCAGTTGAGCAGAAGATTCCTACCAGTGTTTCTATCAACCTTTCACCAAAAGTGGACAGCAGTGAATTGCCATGCTCCATTGAAGTTCATGATGGTATTCCATCTTCCTCTAGCAAAGCTAATGAACCAATGGAGGCCCAAGATGATTCAAACACAGCCAGTTGCATGTTCGAGGCATCAAAGCAGCAAGAATGCCCTATAAACCTCATATTGACCGACAAGAAAGGCGATTTGCAAGAAGTTTCAGTCGAACAAAATGTTCCTTGTGGTGATTATGTTGCCCTTTCACCAAAAGCAGACGGTGGTGAATTGACATCAACCAATGAAGTTCCTGAAGGCTTTCTAACTTCCTCTAGCAGAGCTTATGAATCAAAGGAAGCCCAAGATGATTCTATCACAATGGATGCTTCAGAAGTAAATGTCTGTGCAGCTTCATACTCCACGCTTAGGTTAATTGAAGGGGTCCAGGATAAGGCTTCTTGTATTGATTCTGGTAAAGTTACTTGTGAAACACCACCTGCCATCCTGGAAAGGGTGAAAGAAGATAAGCCACTGGTCGTCCACAGATTTCATAAGCGCCAAATGAGCCTAGGAGATACACGGCAAAAGGTGCCTGCACCTGTGAGCAGATCAAACACCAGCAAGTACTTAAGAATGGATAAAACCATTGTTGATACTACGTCTCCCATTGAATCAGTAAAGGTTGCTGCATCAAAGTTTGGTGGCAGCATCAACTGGAAAACTCGCAGGACACAGACAGCACTGGTAACTGAGAATTGATTTTCCTTCCTTATATTTTTTTTCATATGTACTGTAACTGTTATAACTCTGTGACATACTCTCGTTTGTTTCTATAAGCAGGAGAGTGACCATATTGAGCTTGATAAACTGAAGAACGAAATTTCAGAATGTAAACATCAAGCAGAAGCTGCAGAGGCTGCAAAGTTATCAGTATTAAATGAGCTTGATAGAACAAAGCAGCTTCTCAATGAGATGAAACATGTCCTGGAGAGGGAACAAACTGAAGAGGTGGATGCCATGGAGGACTTGGAGTTAGTTCAATTTATTTTACAAGCGATGGAGGGAGTTGCCTGTAATGATAGTGCTGTGGTTGGAGAGAAGCTGAATAATATTCAAGAACGACGCAAAGCATTGATTGCCAAAGTGATGTCAGTGAAAGATGAGTTGGGAAAAGTGCAGAAGGATTATGATTCTTTGTTGATCGAAACAGATATTTCCATTAACAAAGCTCAGGCAGCCTTCACAATGTCCAAAGATGCAGAGAAAGAAGTAGAGGAGCTCACCATAGAGCTGCAAAGACTAAAGGAAATGTTTGATTTGGCTAACGCCACATGCCAGGATGCTGAAGAACGCAAGAAGAACACGTTGATGGCACGTGATGAGGATTGCCTTTCATGGGAAAAGGATCTCAGGCAATCGGACAAAGAGCTGAATCAGATCAGCTTGGACATTTGTTCTTTTCAAGAATTGCAATCAAAGCATGATATGTCAGCCATCATGTTGCTCAATCTCAAGAATGAGCTAGCCGCGGGTTTGGGGGCAAAGCTAATCGGGGAAGCAGGAGAACAAGAAAGTGGAACTCATAAACCCGTGCAAGAAGAAGTCATCATTATGTTAAAGAATGAGCTCGAGGAGCACAGGAAAAGCATAGCGAAGGTGACAGATGAATTATGTGCTCTGAAAGCTACAGCTGCATTGCTAAAATCACAATTGAACAAAGAGAGAGCAGCACTTGCCGCCACTCAACAGGTGGGAGCGATGGCATCCATAACCACCCAATCTCTCAAGATGGACATCGAACTGTCACAGCAGGAACTTCAAGCAGTCCATGCCAAGGCACAGGAGTGCCGAGATAGAATGGACAAGGTTCTGCAAGATGCATCCCAGGAAGCTGACGAGGCTAAAGTCATTGCTACCAAGGCTCAGGAGGAGCTAAGAAAGACCAAGGAAGAAGTGGAGCTAGCGAAGGCTGCTCTGAGCACTATGGAATTCAGGCTTGAAGCAGTCCTGAGGGACATACAGGCGGCAAAAGAGTCCGAGATGCTGGCGCTCAACACTCTGAGAACATTGGAGGACAGCAAGGTTGCCGTAAACGTCAAACAAGGCTCCTCTCAGATGATCACTCTTGGCTTGGATTACTACACGTCTCTGATTCAGAAGTCCCGTCAGGCAGAAGAGCCTGTGCACGAGAAGACAGCTGCTGCCATGGCACAGGTTGAGGCGGCAAAGGAGTCCGAATTGCGCACCTTATCAAGACTGAACGAAATCTTCAAGGCCTTGGAAGAACAGATGCAGGCACTGGCCACGGCCACCGAGCGGGCAGGCAGGGCGACCGAAGGCAAGCTGGCCATGGAGCAGGAGCTGAGGAAATGGAGAGAGGAGAACCGGAAGCGCCACCGCAAGGCCGGTGAAGCTTCAAAACCTGAAGCCAGACCTTCGTCAAGCGCTGCAGAGATCGTGGGTGGAGATACGACGTGCGCGGGCAAAGAAGACAGCTGTGCCGCCGCGTCGGTTCATCCGGTGTCGAACGCGTCCGGGAGGAGCAGCCCCAGCGATCTGGCACTGCAAGCGAGGACGAAGAAGACGAAGCAGCTGTCGTTGTTCCCTCGCGTCAGCATGTTCCTGGGCTGCTGGGCGGGAGGCGGCTCAGAGCTGCGAAGCTTGTCATTCAGAATGTGATTTCCTTTTCCTTTTTTTTTTGTGTGTGTAATCTGCACTGGTTTACTCGATGGCACGATGTTTGTGCTGCATGTAATGTGTTCAAGTTGTGAGATTGCTTTGCTGGCGTATTCAGTTTGGTGGACAAGACAGGATGGTTCTGTAACACAGTTGGGATCTGTTTTCTTTATGCTCCTGTCCCGATTCTGTGAACTCGAATCCATTTCATTTTGTTGGCCTGATGTTGCGAAGAGATGGTTCTAGGTGGGTTTCGATGTTTCAGCGGCACACGCAATGCAACTCCCGGATCTGCGCGCACGATCGCTGGAACAGGACGACGTGCTCGGGTCGCAGCATTGGTAGAGCAGCTGTACAGTAGTAGCAGTGTAGTACAATACTACAACTGTACAAGAGCTGCAGCGTTGACTGCGGCCCACCGTGTGGATGTTTAATCGAGAATTTGAGATGGTGCGGCGTGCGCCAAGCTGCCCCAGCTTGCGCCTACACGACGACGACGATGTGCAAAAGGCTCAAGCTGGTGCCTGGGCAGAGGACTTGTAGTCAGGAACGTTGGTTCGCCAAATCGCCCCGTACACAGAAGCAAACGGAACGAGTGAGCCCAGATGCTACTCACATGGGCCGAGCAAGCAGCAGCATGGGCCCAACCTTACTCCAGGCCGAGCTGCTTTAGCACCGTGCCTAGCACAAGTACGAATTGCTTAAGGCCCAGCTTTGCTCCCGTGCCTAGCAGTCTAGCACAGTAGTGCCCGTTGCACAGTAGAGCCACCATTTCCGGTTCAGGCGTGTCGATCCACTGTTGAGCGTCGAGTGCTGACTGCTGCAGGGGAGTCTGGCGAGGTGATCGGTGAAGCAACGTCGCGACCGCAGAAGCCAAGCCCGGTCGACACAGAGCTTGCCACCGGCACCGGCACCGGTGGGTCCACCCAATCCCGCAATCCATCTCCATCGCCATCTAGATCGAGTTCTTAGGCTCCACGCCTCGTTTCAGTCTCCCAGCCGCGGCGAAACCGAAACCCACCAAATCAAGCCGTCGATGACACGCTGTCCCCGCGAAATGACACGCTTCACATGTGGTTTTCGGCCGCCTCAGATCGATCGGTTGCCGTGTCCGGGGTCGCCCAGCTGGATGGCGCGGCAGGTGCGGCGTCGGCGGGCGACTGGGCGAGGTGGACATGGACTCTCGCATCGATCCCATCGTTCCGTCCCTGACACCCTGAATGGACTTATAAATCGGCTGACGTTGTTTTTGTTATAAACGAAAAATATTATATCATAATTGATAAGCATAACTTTATTTAGATTGGGGTTAGAAATTGGATTCTGTAACGAAGAGACGGGCGGGCGGGCGTCCCGGGGGTCGATCGGTTGCCACCGGCTGCATGCCCTCGTCTCACGCGTCCTCTCCAGCCCACGGGCCGCCGCGGATCAGACCAAGGCCCCTTTTGAACGCAGAATTTTCTCATGCGTGAATCGTAAAGATTTGATGTGCAACCGAGAGTAAAAACTTGTCGATGTGTCGGAGAGCCATCTGATCTGGTCACAATTCTCAGGCTGGATCCGACCGACGGACGCGTCCCTCTCCTCCGTGTTCAGGTTTTACCACGTCTTCCGGGCCCACGTTAAGGACCGCTGCTACTGCACACCGGTACAGTAAAAGGATTGCAGTTTACTACACCGCCGAAACTAGTTTCATCACCATCATCTGCAAATATACGCTACTAGATCGCTGCAACACATCGAATGGCTTGATGCGCTGTCGCACATTAAATCGTGAGTGAATGAAAACTCAAACTCACAGTCATGCTGGACTAAAAACGTGAAAACACGCTTTGCTGGCATAGATCGGCTGGTTTGAACAGCTTTTTTTGTTGTTAAAACGAACGCTTAGTGATTTTTTTCTCAAAAAAACCAAATTTCGCGAACTAAACAAACAAGGCTGAAGAAACTAGCAACTTCGATCACCATCACCTGCAGGTATACGCTACTAGCACGCTGCAACACAGCGGACTTGATGCGCACGCACATCATTGCCTTCAAGTGAGATGAGTCAGCTCACAACTCACAGTCATGCTGGACTAAAAAAAGTGAAAACACTGCTCGGCTGGCATAGATCGGCTGGCTGGTTAGCTTTTTTTTTCCAGCTGAAGCAATGTTTTTTTCTCACAGAAAATCAACATAAACAGTAAAAACCAACATGAACCGTACCTTTTTTTTTTTTAGTCCAGCCGAACCAGCTCGAAAAGGTACAACGACCTCTGGCTCTGGAGCCGGACACAGCAGGGTCAAGTAGGAATGATGCTCTAGTAGTAGCCAGAACAGGCAAACTTTAGTAGTAGTACATCCAAACTTTCCTAGCTGAAAGACAAATATCATGTTTGCTTGTTGTTTGAGCCAGGACTTACCAGTCAGCCAACAGTATTTTCCTCTCACAACAAACCAACACCAGTCGAGCTTATCAACCCAAAAACTAACCAGCGAACATGTCCAAAGAAATCCACCAAAGATTCCGGTGAGAGGCCGATCGATGCTCAAGCCGGCGGCGAGAGCCAATGCGACAAACGAGACGATCGACGACGAGTGCATGCATGCCCTTCAGTAGCAAACGGCGAAAAGGCTAGGGTGTTAGGGACTCAGGGTAGGTCCGGCCATGGAGTTGCAGTTGCCTTCAGTGACGGAGCCAGCGGTGGGGCTAGGGGCTCTAGGCCCCCTATCGATCCTGGGCATGTGGAGCCCCTCTAAGATCTTTCTTAAAATTTTATACATATATGTATTAAGTAGGAGGGACTAATATTAAGAGAAGATAAAAAAGCCTCTATTCTTTTATTCAGCCCTTCCTAAATTTTTTTCTGGCTTCATCCCTGGTTGCCTTGAAGGATTTGCAACCCTAGGCCTTGTTTAGATTGAAGATTTTTTCAACCCGATGAATCACCTTTTCTTTTTTGGTAAATATTGTCTCTCGCTTTCAACTAGTTCAAATTCATCTGAGTTCAACTAAACGAGCTGTGGGATGTTTTTTTCATATATTTAATCGGATCGGACCGGCCAAAAATTGACGATGGAGAGAGTTGGATCGCCTTTTGTTTTTGATGTAAACTGGCGCAAAAACCTATCTTTAACTGTAGCAGCCACACGCAATCACTCATCCATGTCTCTTTGTAGACTGTATTACATGTTGTCGCTCATGCTTTTCTTTTACCTTGAGCTAGCTCTCTCCTCCTTTCGTCGTTCAAATCGTGTGAGTTCTAGACGAGCTGTGGGATGAGATCGATCATGAAACTTTCGGATCGGATAACTTTTCGACCGACGGCGAGTTGGATCGCCTTTTGTTTTCTATAAGTAGATTCATCTCGAAACAGATCTTTACCTGTAGCCTAATAACTCCAAATGGCTCATCCATGTCTCTTCAGAGACACATCATTATTAATTAGATTAAAGACGCATGCCTTTGTTCAGCACACTTGAGCTAGCTACTACTAATTAATGAGCAAATAAAGCTGTTCAGCTGCTCGATTTTGTGGCTGAAATCGGTGGGAGCTGGTTGGGCCTCATGGCCCAGGCGAGCACCAGCCGTTCGGCTGCTCTAGAAGACCCAGCTGCCGCCATGCTCGCTCTCTCTCCTGTCTCACATTCATCACACTTGAGCTAGCTACTACTAATTAATGAGCAAATAAAGCTGTTATCGCAACTAGACGTGCTAGATTTGCTCAAGCGCTATACTCTGAAATTCACCTGGGGTATAGTGAATTATATATATAGGTTCCTTTTCTTGCAAACCTTTAGAAAAGATATTATTGTCGGCCATTTACCCCAAAAGACCCAATGCACACTACATCTAAGCTAAGCCAAAAGAGAAGTATAGAACCAGCAGCGTTTGGAGTAGGATAACATCAGATATAAAGTGCAAGCAAAGCAGAAGCAGAATATTTTCCTTTCCTTTCCAAACAGCAATAAAGAAGAACATTTTTCCTTTCCAAACAGCAATAAAGAAGACCATGCAGGTTTTCACCAAACAGTTATACTAGTATGCTTGGGTAAAAAGGCAGTAGCTAGGAATCAGAAGTGGTGTGTAAGCAATTTTAACGAGACCTTAGCTACCACTTCAGAGTTCAGTTTGTTCTTTTTCTTCTCGTACATATGTTCCAGATCACACATACACATGTCGAGGTGAGACGTAACGTCACAAACGGCTCTTGAACGTTCTTCGGTTGATGGGTCGTCTCCCAGCAAGTCCCAAATGCTGACATTACAGTGGAGTAAAGTTACTGGAAGTGCCACCGGGTACCGAAAGGAACGGACAAAAGAATCAAGAAAACGAAGGAGCAAAACAAAGCGGAAAAAAGGAGGAGCGAGGAACCAAAGTGGAAAAAGCATGGAATCTCTGAAGCATTTGGTCCAACCAATTGGTTGCTTTGCCCATTGCTAAATGCACGCGTATTCTTCTTCTTCCTCCTCCCAGCACCACGACAGCTCGACATGGGCGTCGTCGTCTTCTTTCCACGTATGAAATCACGAAGGAGGACGACGGGCATGTACGACCTGAATCCTCACTGGTCCTTCTGTGCCATGGATGGATGGGAGCACCTGAACTGACGCGATTTGGGCACGCATTTTCTGTGAACCTAACGTCGTTTAAAATCCAGTTCTGTGTTTGACACACTTCAGTTCTCCGGTCCCGGTCATTGCTCGTTCGTTCATTGCACCCCCAAAAGAAAGCATCATTTCTCAGGATATATATAATATATCTAGCTTTTGACGCGAAGATAAGATCATCCAAGATCAGCAACAGTGATCAGTGGCCTACCTATGCTTGTAGATTATATATCTGTTTGCCAATTATGGGGTCCTTGAAAGCCAAGGGATGAAGTCAGGCTGGTATATGCAGGATGGAGTGTTCCATGTTCATCAAAGCTGCAATGATGCATGGATGAATGGATCATTAGGTAGTAGGATATATATGATACTAGGATTTATATGATCATTAATTCAGATGGTGCTGGAAG